GAGCCAGCAGAATACGGAGGGTATCTCTGGTCGCGCGTGCGCGAAATCTTGCAGCTGCTTGCTTGGGCGAGCTTAGATTTCAAGATGACCAATTTATTTTCACTTTAAAATCGAAAAAAAACAATTACATTTTCTTTTTTACAATTTCAATGTTGTTTTTCACTAGAGCAATATGTGGATGATTTGGAGGAAGTGATTTTTTCCAAATTTCTTGAGCTTTTTCGTAATGTGAAACTGCTTTCGAGTACTCGCTCATGTTATAATACATGAAGCCGATGTTGTTGTAAGATTGAGCGAAGTCGGGATGATTCGGAGGGAGAGCTATTTTACGGATTTCAAGTGATCGTTCGTACGATGAAAGTGCTTTTGAGTACTCGCCCATTTCATCATACACCACACCGATACCTTCGTAGGAAGAAGCCAAGTCGGGATGATTCGGAGGGAGAGCTATTTTACGGATTTCAAGTGATCGTTCATACGATGAAAGTGCTTTAGAGTACTCGCCCATGCTATAATACACCGAACCGATGCCGAGGTAGGAAGCAGCCAAGTCGGGATGATTCGGAGGGAGAGCTATTTTCTTGATTTCAAGTGATCGTTCATACGATGAAAGTGCTTTCGAGTACTTGCCCATGCTATCATATACCGAACCAATGTTGAGGTAGGAAGAAGCGAAACTGAGATCATTTGGAGAGAGAATTTTCTTGTAGATATCCAGTGATTTTTCGTAATATGAAAGTGCTTTTGAATACTCTCCGATGTTATAATACACCCAGCCAAGCTGATGATTGTATTCTGCTCGACCTTGATCAGAAGATGCCTTTGCAAGGAGAATTTGATATAGTTGTTCTGCTTTTGCGGGCTCACCCAATTTAATAAGTATGAAACCAAGTCGAGACCATCCTGTTCGTCCACCAAGGTCCTTACGTATATGTGCTGTAAGTGTGTTCAATTCATGATTGTCATTACCGACAATAGTGAGATTAACTTCGTATAGCCGATCGCAGTGATTATCGTGAATTCGTTCAATGCGATCGATACGAAAAATCGCATGTGTTGAAAATAGTATTTCTTCCTCTTTATCTTTGTAGTAGCCAACTTTGCTTACTTCAGCAAATGTTGTTGATGATTTTGTACAAATAGCCGTGTCAATGTTCATAATGAAAAGGATGCCAACTGAATTTGTATTTAATGCTGCTGGTCGTGCAAAGTTTTTGAAAGATATCTCGCGATTGCGACTTGTCGACAGGAAATTATTAAAGGACATAAGTCCTCCTTTGGTTTTTTTCATTTTTTCAAAATCTTCCATGGACAAACCTTGTCCACGGAAGACTTGAAAATTTGTTGGCATGCTGCCTTTTTGTTCGCGATGTAGTTCGGTAATATGCTGATGTAAATGACGGATGAAAAATCCCATTTTAAGGATGATGTCAACATCCATTTGTCGAAGGCCACGATTCAGCATTGGATATATAAATGTTTCAGCCGTATACCACCATATTGGTGTATGATCACGATATTCATTTTCGACCTTCGTAATTTGACCTTCATCGATATCATCTTGTAGACGACAGTACTCTACGAGATCTTTAATTGATTTGACATCGTCATCTTCAATTTCCAAAAGCGCTTCTTTTAAAAGTTGTGTATACATGAATAATGCATCACGACCATTAAAGCTGATCGAGATCATTGCTCGATCACAATTTTCGCGATCGATTTGCAAGGCCTTACAGATCGGTTTGATTTTTGTGTATACACCTTTAACCTTTGGTACTTTATTGGCCCATTGTTCATGGACCGCTTGGTTGCGACAGAATACATAGACTGACTCCAGTTGTGGCCATGCTTCAATATCTGCTATTATTTGCCGTCCTAGTGAACCAGATATGATCATAAATACCTTTTGATTTGTAACGGCACTGAGAAAATCAATGCATTCTTGAGCATCTTTAAATGTTTCGATGCTTGCTACAACACGTCGCAGGCGTCGAAACGATTTCTTGAAATCGTCATTGGACTCATCCAATTTGGCATCAAGCCATAGAAGCCGGAAATTTTGAAGCTCTCGACGCCTAGGTCGAGGCAGCACAGCAGCAGCACGATTGTTCGCGTTGGTAATAGTGGTGGTGCTAGGCATCGCTGCTGCACCACTGATAACAGTTGTTGTCGACTTTTGTTTGCTCATTGTAATCGAACGAATGAATATAATCTGTGAAACGAAGTCCTCTATATTTATAATTGTTAAATTTTTTGTTGGTTAACATCATTCCTTTTCTGACTTGTGGCTACAGACTTCAAGAACCTCTACTATCTGGTTCATTTTTGTTTCAAGAGTGTTACTGACAAAATACATCGAACCATAAATAAAGAAGAATGGCTAAGGAAACAAATAGTCGCTGAGGACGGACGACATGACTAGTCCGAAATGTCGAAAATACCTGTCCTAACTAGTTATCCTGACATGAAAACTCCTGCAGCTACGTCTGAACTAGTCCAGAATGTCCTCAAACTTCGACATGTCTAACCCGTTTCTCTATCTAATCAGTCCAGATTAGTCGGTAGACCAGAAAAAGAATATTTCTAAAAGTAAAAATTGTGCCTTTCATTACTGGTACTCGCGTTGAAATGTATGCACACAAACAGTTACTCTGTTTAATATGTTTTACAATAAGATTGTTTTATACATACAAGATTCTGCAACTAAGACAATCGATTGCATGTTCTGAGTATTATCAAGCGAAGTTTTCTTAAAACTACTTTATAAACATAAAAATAACACATGTTTATGTACCGTCATTTTTTTGGTGTGTAGCTACTCTTTACTTTTCACTTTAATTTTCTTACTAGTCTAATAATGTTAGAAACTAAATA